GCCCCAGGTTCAGTCCCCGGCAGCATCTCCAGTTAAAAAGGACCAGGCAGGGGGTGATGGGAAAGACCTTCACCTGAAACCCTGGAGAGCTGTAAAGAGGGGCTGTGGCTCAGTGGCAGAGCCTCTGCTTGGCATGCAGGAGGCCCCAGGTTCAGTCCCCGGCAGCATCTCCAGTTAAAAAGGCCCAGGCAGGAGGTGATGGGAAAGACCTCCGCCTTAGACCCTGGAGAGCTGTAAAGAGGGGCCGTGGCTCAGTGGCAGAGCCCCTGTTTGGAATGCAGGAGGTCCCAGGTTCAGTCCCCAGTGGCATCTCCAGTTAAAAAGGCCCAGGCAGGAGGTGATGGGAAAGGCCTTCCTCTGCCTGAGGCCCTGGAGAGCGGCGGCCAGTCTGAGTAAGCAACACTTGCCTTGGTGGACCAAGCAGAGGGGTCTGATCCAGTAGAAGGCAGCTTCACGTGTGTGAACAGGCTTGCACTTGAGTGAGCACACTGCAATTATTGCATAATTTTTATTTTTGCTTGAAGATGCCCTTCTTTTTGCCTGGCAGGGCTCCACCCCCTCTCCAGGCAGCCCCAATCCCGGGGCCAGAGGGACGGCCCTGCCTGAGCTTGGGTGGGGGAAGGAGACCCCAACAACACCTCCCACTCCTGACCCACGGCTGGCGACCTCCGGCATCTCCCCCACTGTCCAAATAAGAACACAAGAATGTAAGAGAAGCCAGTGTCGGATCAGGCCAAGGGCCCCTCCAGTCCAACACTCTGCGTCACACGGTGGCCAAAAAATACCAGTGGCCATCAGGAGGTCCAGCAGTGGGGCCAGGACACTAGTAGTCCTCCCACTGTTGCCCCCCCCCAAGCACCAAGAAGACAGAGCATCCCTTGCCCCAGACTGAGAGTTCCTACCTGTACCTTGTGGCTAAGAGCCACCGATGGACCTCTGCTCCAGATGTTTATCTGATTCCCTTATAAGAACCTAAGACAAGTCCATCTTGGATCACACGGTGGCCAGGAACACCAGGGGCCCTCAGGAGGTTTAGCCGTGGGGCCTGGGGGTGGGGCCTGCCCAGGATAGCAGCACCAACCGTGGCACTTGTGCTGCTGGACTTGAGACTGACCGATGACGGCCGGCTCTCCGGGGCCGAACTTGAGGGCTGCCCGCTCTCAGCCTAACTCTGCACCACTCAAAAGGAAGACCTGACCCAGCGAGAACAACCTTGGTTTTCATTTTCTCTTAACCTAAACCAGTTTCTAGCTCTCTTTGTGAGGAGCAGCTTTGTAACGTGAAGGAATAGTGTCACGGGGGGGGGGGGGGGGGCTTGCTGGCTGCCTTCTCAGGACAGAAGGAGCAGGACGTGAATCTCCAGAATCGTAAAGGACTTTTGTTGTAGCAGATTGCAGAGCACGCTGTCAGTGCTTGGAGGAGGGGGCTTTTTAGAACCCTTCGCCTTGAGCTCCCTCCCCACCCCCTGCCCCACGGAAAGTGTTTATCCACGCAGTGAAAAATGCACGAATACTGGTATTTCCCCCACACACACACACTATACAGGACATTTTACAAGCCTTAGTGCCGTCACGCAAGATGCATTGTTGATGTTTTCATTTGACAGATGGGGAACTGAGGCGAGTTGTCCCAGACGGTTGCGTGAGCCAGGATCTGGGCTCCATTCCGCACTCCTGCTTAAGGAGAAACAAACTGTGCTAATTAGACGAAGTGTTACGCATCGTACTGCTGCAGTGTGCAGATTGTTCACTTTCATCCTTTGGCCTTTGTTTTCTCCTTCTTGATGTGCCATAAACCAGGATCCCCACGTCTGCTTCTCCCCGTTCTGACTTCCCAAAGGAACGACTCATCTCAATAAACAAAGGGTATCAAACCACAACTTTATTAAAATCAGTGCTGAGACGGGCAGGTTGTGCTCGCTGGTGCCAGGCGTGGAGGCAGCGGCCCAGGGGTTTGCTGGCACCCCCAGGCCAGGACCAAAGTGCTCTGCAGCTCTCCAAGGAGAGTGTGGTGTGGCATCAGTCACTTGGCGGCTGCCGGTGCTGGTGCTGGTGGCACTCCGGGGTCTTCGGTGTCGCTTGCCCGGGACGAGTCGTGCTACTTCCCTCCCCTCCCCCCCGCATTACCCACTGGGGAAGGAGGGAGGACCCACGGGGACACTCGCAACAAAGAGGGGGCACAGGTGAGGCAGGGACTGGGCAGGGCAAGGTCCGAAGGGGACGGAGGTCTCTAGAGTGACTCTACCTGGAAGCCCAGTGCCCAGGCCACGGCTCTTCCCACAAAGCACACAGGGGTGGGAACAGTAATCTGGGGGTGCTGCTTAAAATCCTTGGCAGGCTTCAGGGTCAGAAGCCACGGCAACGGGAGAGGTTTGCGGCCGGGGAAGAAGCCACGCCAAGCGGCCTCAGGTGCACCCCACGGCCAGGACTGCAGGGTCCCTCGGTGGGGCAGACCCCGGAAGCAGGTCAGGTGGAGACAGTCGGGGAGCTGACAGTGGGCACCTGCGGCCACTGCGGAGGGGAGTCCCTGAGGTGTTAAGAGGCTTGGCTCAGCTTGCTCCTGGCCGCCAGCGGCCCTCTAAGGCAGGACCCCGCCAGGAGGCTTCCCTGTGAGCCGAACGGCTGGAGTCTGCCCTCTCTGAAGCAGGTGTGTCTGTGTGGTGAAGGAGAGGCCCTTCGGAGGCAGTGCGATGCGATGGAAGGTCGGGCTCCGCCTCGTCCCCCCCATGGGGAACCCCCCCCCCAATGCAAATGCTGTAGGCCCCAGAGAAGAGGAGCGCCAGGAACAGATCCAGGAAGGATCCCGGGCTTCTTGCGGGAAAGCAGGAAGGCTGCCAGCTTCTGGTTAGGAACAGTGTTCCCTCTAAGCTGGAGTGAGTGTGAGCTAGCTCATAGCTTTTTAGCCTCCGGCTCACACATTTCCATCTCAGCTCGGGGAGGATGTGGCTCCAGAGCAAACTGATTTATGCAGCAGCCCAATCGCTCGCTCAGAACTTCAATGCCAGTGGCTCACAAAGCAGGATTTTTGCTCACAAGACTCCAGAGCTTAGAGGGAGCATTAGTTGCAACAACTGATCTCCAGGGATGGTTCTTCTGCAGCGAAGGGACTCTGCGGCATCATGCCCAGCTGAGGTCCCTCTTCCCCCCAAAGACGCCCCCCCCAGGTTCCAGCGCAGAATCTCCAGGGATTTCCCCACCTGGAGCTGGCAGTCTTTCCACCAATGCTCGGAAGGTCAGTTCCTGGAGAGCCACCACCTTGCCCCCCCCGAAGCCGGAGCCCCCACGCCACCCCCAGCTGCTGGTTCCTGCCCAGCCGCACGACCAGCTGCCACCTTGGTGCTATGGCCACGGGAAGCTCTCTCGCTTCTTGCTGCAGCGCCCCAGAGGGCAGTCGGGCAGCCCCGCCCTCTGCTGTCCTGGGTCAGGGTCGACAGGTACCCCCCGGGGGGGCCGGGTGCAGAGCGCACCCCAAGCAGCCCTCTTCCGGCTGATTCCTTCCTGGCGGTGACCCTCAGGGGGGCTGGCCGCCGACCCCAGCACACCACCCGCCGGGGCTCAGCTGGGGCCCCTGCCCTCCCGCCCCTCTTGGGCTGCTGCCACCCACTGCCCCGGGCACCGGTGAGGTCAGAACTCGGCCCCTGGCCTGTCACGGGGGGGGGCTTCTGTTACAGCTGGTGGCTGAGTGGCCCTGGCCCTGTGAAAGGCCCCTCCCCTCGTGGCCCTAGAGGGATGACGAGCTTCTCTGCAGTTCGATTGCCTCATGCCCCCCCGCCCCCCTGGAGAGCTCTGGGTCAGTCGCGGGCTCTGGAAGCTCTGGCCTTTCCGCCCTCTACCGCCCTGGCAGGTCCCCTGTGCTGTCCTGTGTCCCACCCACGCCCTCCTCCTCCTCTGCTGGAGACGGGTCTCAGCTGCACAAAAAGCAACTGAACTCCTAGATTCGGTCCCCCCGAGTCACGACGGGCTCCACCTCGACCTCCTTTAGGCAAACCTCGCTTAGGATTGAAAGGCTACGGCCCCTCCTGCATCTTGGAAGGGGCCCCTGGCCCTGAGACAGCCCGGGGTGGTGGGAAGGGACGCCTCCACGAGTCACGATGGATCCCAGCGTCCTCCGGGAGGCACAAAAGTCCACATCCAGGAGAAGAGGGGACAGGGGGAGAGAGGTCCTGCTCAATGCTTCCAGGGGGCTGCAGGACGGACACCCCCCCCAAAAAGACACACACCCCCGAAAGCTCCCCCCCCCCGGTCCATCGCAACTCTCCTCCTCCAGCCCAGCATGTTGACTTCATGTCACCAAACCTCTGCTGCGAAGACGGAGACGTCGGAGCTCAGGAAAGACGGGCGGGAGGGGCACGGGGAGAGCGTGTCGGGAGGAGCCTAGAGCCCCCGCCCCTGTAAGAGGCCCCCCCCAGAGGCTTCGTGGGTCAGACCTCACTGGTGACCGACCGGGAAGGGATGAGGACGTCGGGGGTGGTGGGGAAGAGACACAGCTGCGGGTCAGGTGACCGCGGCAGGCACAGCTCCGTGATCCTGCAAGGAAGAGAGAGAGACAAAGAGGCAGGGAGGGGCAGGGTGGGGGGCGATTACATCTGCGTTCAGGAGGAGGAACACGGGATGGTGCAGAGCCAGGCCAAAGCTCTCTTGCCCCTGTGCTCCCCTCGCCCAGCGCCGTGGTCCTCTGCAGAGTTACATCCTTCTAACCCCACTGAAGTGGCTCGGAGGATGCCACCCTCTCTGGGACTCTGCACTTTCCAACCAGGATGCCCTCGATGGAGCAGACAGGCTGGGCCTCGGCTCCCCCCCACCCCCCCGCGCATCCCGTGCAGCAGTAGACAGGTCCCCTCGGAGCCTGACTCAGGTCAGAGAAGGGGCTTCCGCCTGCCCTGCCCAGAAACGGTCGTGTGTGTGTGCGTGCCGTCTGGCCCACTGAGGAAGCCCACCAGCGTACACATGGGGGGGGCTCTTGCCGATGGGCCAGATGGCACCCCTCTGGGACTGCTGAAGGGTGGGGCAACAGGGTTTTGGCGGGGGCAGAAGCCCCTCCTCCAGGTGTGCTACAGTCGGGGCCTCTGAACGGAACTCTGAGCGCGTGGGAGAGAAGGGAGGAGCTCCTGCCAGTCACAGAGTGCCCCCCGCCCCCCAGCCCTCAGCTGACCTGAAGCAGAGGCACAGAAGGGCAGTATAAGAAGGCAGCGGACTGGAGCACAAAGGAAGGAGTCAGCGGCTCAGGAGCTCCCCTTGCCTGGCTGCTTAAAAGAGGCCGTTCCCAGGCCTCCCGGCTGCAGTGGATTCCCCCAAAACAACACCTGGTCTGTTTCCACTTAAGGGCTGCACAAGAGGAGAGTTGCCCCCTCTTTCGGGCCCTTTCATCCAACTCTCCTGCCGGAGGCTGTAACAGAAACGCATCTTCTGCAGCAGGGTTTCCTCTAAACTGGGTCAGTGTGAGCTAGCTCACAGTTCTTTAGCCTCCAGCTCACACGTTTTTGTCTCAGCTCCGGGAGGAGGGCTCCAGAGCAAACTGATTCATGCAGGAGCCAAATTGCCCGCTCACCACTTTAATGCCAGCAGCTCACAAAGGAGAATTCTTGCTCACAAGACTCCACAGCTTAGAGGGAGCTTTGGTCTGCAGCACAGGCAAACAAAACAGCACCCACAAAACGGACTCGCCGAGGGCTCATCCTAACCCAAGTGACACCGTTCTGAGCCCACTGGACCCCCCGGGCCTTGAAGGGGGAGAACGCTGCCTTAGGACTCCTCGGTCCGTGCGCAGCCGGGGTGATCGTGCCTCTTTGCCTAGGCCGCAGTTACCCACGCTGAACAGCCCACTTTCCGTGCACTTTCCAACTGGATTTTACTGTGTGAACTGGCAAGATCCACTTGGAAAGTACACTGAAAGGGGATTATTCAGTGTGTGGCCGCAGATGTAACGCGTTCTAATCCCAGAGTTTTGCTAGACAGAATCTGGAGTGTTCCTCACACAACACTGTATTTCGAGAAACACACACACACACACACAAACGGGCCATGGTGATGGGTAGTCTCGGAAAGATGAAGAAGAGAAGAGATTGGATTTATACCCTGCTGCCCTTCATTACCCGAGGGAGTCTCAGAGCGGCTCACAAACTCCTTTCCCTCCCCCTCCCCACAACAGACAGACCCCCTGTGAGGTAGGCGGGGCTGAGAGAGCTCTTGACAGAAACGGCTCTTTGTCAAGGACAGCTCTTGCGAGAACTACGGCTTGTCCAAGGTCATCCAGCCAGCTGCGAGTGGAGGAGTGGGGAATCAAACCCGGTTCTCCTGGATTAGAGTCCGCGCACTTAACCACGACACCAAACTGGCTCTCTGGATGCACCTACAAGGGCTAGTTCCCAGGAGTAGGATCCGCAGCAGGTATGCCGGGAAGGGTCTTTGGTCTCCGGAGGACGGCCTGCCCCCCACCCTCTGCAGCCTCTGCTCTCTGTTCACCCGCCCGGCTGGGCCCCGGGGACGGCAGAGGCACAGGGGGCGGGACAGGGGACCAGGGCGGCCTCCTGCAGTGCCCCTTCGGGTCCCCTCCCCACGGTCCTCCTCTTTCTCTCAATTCCCGGACCGGAAGCCACCGCAGGAGCCTGCTGAGGGGTCCCAGCCGGGAGGGTGCTCTGCGCCTGCCATTGCAGGATCCCCCCGGGGGGCTCCGGAAGGGGGGGGTCAGATGGCATCTCGTCAGGCAAAGAGTGACGCAGCCACAGCAAGCAGCACGGGGCTCCCTCCGAGGGTTAGGCGGACCCCCAGCACCTTCCCTCGCTCTTCCCCAGCATTGCCAGCAAGCGGGCGGGGCCCAGGCGGGGTTTGTTGGCCCAATCTGGAAACCTCGCATTTGATCAGGTGGGTCTGGAAGCAACGCTCCCTCTAAGCCGTGGAGCCTTGCGGGCAGAAATCCTACTTTGTCAGCTGCCGGCATTGAAGTTGTGAGCGAGCGATCTGGCTACTGCATCAGTCAGTTTGCTCTGGAGCCCCATCCTTCCTGAGCGAGGGCAGAAATGTGTGAGCCGGAGGCTAGGAAACTGTGCGCTGGCTCACACTCACTCAGCTCAGAGGGAACATTGGCAGCCTGAGAGAACCAGAATGTGTACGTGGGACCCGCTGTAAAGGGCGCAACCCGGCAGGTCCGAAAGCACCAGGCGCCAAAATCGGAACATGGCAACCCAGCCCAAGAAGGGGCACCGGGTTGACACCCAGCAAAACCTTTTTAAAAAGGTTTCTTTGGCGGCAGCCGCTGACTCCACGCACCAGGGTCTTCCCTGCAAGGCAGGAAGGCAGATCCTTGTGGGCAACGGAATCTCGCTAAGCCGCACCCCCATTTCAAAAGGCACCGTGCCGAGCAGAGCTTCTGCCTGAAGTGTTACGTTGTTCCTATGACGGGCCCGCATAACCGCACTCCCTGTCGTTTTGTGGAAGGCTCCGCCTCCTCCGACAACCATTTTGTGGGTGTGCCTGCCCCCCCCGGGGCCAGAACTCCAAAGGTGCCTGCTGAGAGAGCTCTCTCGAGAACTGCCCTGGAGGGAACAGCTCTGAAAGAACTTGTGACTGACTCAAGGTCACACCAGCAGCTGCATGTGGAGGCGTGGGGAACCAAACCCGGTTCTCCCAGATTAGAAGAAGAAGAGATTGGATTTATACCCGATGGCCCTTCACTACCCAAAGGAGTCTCAGAGTGGCTGACAAACTCCTTTCCCTCGGTGGGTGGTCGGTGGGGCTGAGAGAGCTCTGAGAGAAACTGCTCGTGAGAGAACAGCTCTGAGAGAACTTGTGACTGACCCAAGGTCACACCAACAGCTGCACGTGGAGGAGGAGTGGGGAATCAAACCCGGTTCTCTCAGAGTCCGCGCCCTTAACCACTGCACCAAACTGCCAAGATCCACCCCCACCCCCCGGAAAGGACTCCTTCTGCTGCCTCCCATCTAGATTCATCTCAAGAGTTTATGGAAACGGAGCTCCTAGCTTCCGAGATCCAGGCCCTCCAGGCCCCCCTAACCCGCCTCCTCTCGCCAGCCCTGCCCACCCCTGAAGACCCCCCGGGCCAGCGGGTGGGGCTCCCACCTCCACTCCTGCTTTTGGTGGGGAACCCTCTGCCCGGAATCAACCCTCCCTGTCCAGCGACGGAAGGAAGCCTTTCCCCTCCTGCTGGAGCCATCGGAGGACCCCCCACCCAAAACCCCCTCCTCCTCCTCTCACAGCCTGTGCTGTCCCCCCAACCCACCCACCCACCCACCTCGAGGAAGCGGGGCCGAGGACGGGGCCTGGCGAGGGGCACTTACTCGTAGGGGTGGGCCA